TAACGGCTACACAGCGTGGAGACGTGACCAACGGCTGGCCAGAGTCTCCAGCGGTTCGTCCGCACCCTTAATGGGGAAAGTGCTTTCCGAGGAAGCTCATTAGGGATTCATTAATTGCGTGTTAATGGACTTCGCGCTACACCTGACAAAGTCTGCTGACAAGAGGGGTGAAGCCCTCTGGCATCTGGAAAATTGTTCCCCCTAATCCGAGGTGAAGAGCTGTCTGTCTCCATCTCATACTCCCTCGCTCTCTCTCCATCCCTCCTCTTCTTGTCAGCCTACAGTAACCAAAAGGGCAATTAACCTAACCTTTCTCTGTAGACTGGCGGCCTTCTCCTCACGTCACCTGAAGCTGCCACAGAAAATCAAGGTTGATTAGTATCTCTCTAACTGCACTGCATTTTAACTGCCCGCAATAACCCGCCGGACGACACCCAGGCTTCATGTGGCCTCCTCATTTGCTATCGATTACAGCGATCGATAGGAGACAGACGCAAAACCTTAATTACCACGGAGTCCCAGACCCGGATGGCCAGCAAGCCAGCCCCTCTCCCCGTGAGAGACATCAGATCCGCATGATATTCCATCCCCCTCACATCAAAGGCTCGCCAGGGAGATCCTGCACTTTTATGTGGGTGTATATAAAAAAAATATAATGAAATAATGAATAACTTAAAGCTCCCTTCAAAAACGGACAAAAATAACTCGCTCCGGCATTGCTGAGCTATGAATTTACCTGACCCAGTAACACGACTGCACGGTACAAACGTGTTCTACCATTTCCCACTGCTGGTCCACAAGCAGACGTTGACCTACCTCGCCTGTCTTGACCTCATAATGTGCTGCATTCAGTAACGGACATTCAATAGGTCAAGCAGGGGTTTCCCTCAAAAGCCCTGCACTGTAAGAGCTTGAGGCGGCGACCTTACGGGGATGGTTTGCTAAATAAATAAATGCAAAATTTAAATGTAGGTCGACCTAATTTGTGGAAAAGACTTCTATAGTTATTCAGTGTAACAGTATAGAGGAGTAATTTAAACGGCCAGGGGACTCAAATTAACCATATACAGGTGCGCTTCCATACCAGCCCGATCCCACAGTGCAGTAAAGACGCCGTAAAATAGAGGCATCCCCCACACACGGGAAAATAAATTCTGCAGGTGTAATTACACCTCTGTAGGGAAGGAATAGCCTCACGATAAAGGTGGTGCTGATTCATAGCCTGTTTGCGCCCAAAAGTACAGGTTCAATGTGTCCCGCCGGAGTTAACATAAACCGATATATCTGGTAGAAAGAAACCGAAGTGAAGACGAGACCGGCCTGCTCTAGCAGGGTGCGGCGCAAAGAGCCTCGTTTGTCTGCAAAGCTGCACAGTCTACGCAGATTCCGGTTTCTAAAACTTTGCTCCAGTTCACTACACCCTTCCCTCAGCCAGCACAGTCAAAAAAAAAAAGGAAGAAAAAAAAAGAGAGATCTTTATCTGTGGTTTAGGAGTGCAGATACAATTGCAAATCACTATCTCAGTTTACATTCTGGGTGTTCCGTTCAATTCCCGCCCCAATTTGTTTTTAGAAATTCTTAGACGCGTAGTAACAGTAGGAGGATTTTACAGAATTACCCCGGTCTGCAGCAAAACATGAGCATAGCTTTCATATTGTGATGGGTATTTCAGCGACGTTTAACACAGTGCATGTAGTTTTCATGGACGTGGCAGACGTCTGTGACCCCGCACTGCCCGCTTGAGTGGACGGGTGCCGGACTCCATCGCGACACTGAATATTCGTTTGCCCTCCCCATCGGGACCTCAGCCAGCTCTCTCCTGTCAGTGCCAGACTTGTGTACATCCAGCAAGTAACCAGCATAGCCTCTCATGCTGGGGGGAGGGAGGGGGGGGAGAGATACTGCCCCCCAGAGCATTTGTAGATGTTCTGATTGGTATCATGCAATAACCACAGGTCCCTCGCCAACCAAGAAACTGTAAACAGGGACCTTGTCTCAGTAGGTTTCAGGTCTCTGGGCCTGAATTTCCCCAGCGGTGTCCGGGGGGGTTCTCAGGTGTCCCAACAATAGTGGGATTCCACAGCAGCACTGGAGGGGGCCGATCTCACATCTTTCCCAAAGCAAACCACCCTAAACGCTCTGGACGGCGTGCTAACTAACCCTAACCCTAACCCTAACTAACCCTAACCCTAACTAACCCTAACCCTTCCTGGTACGACTGCGGGCGCCATGGAATCGCAGCCGTGTCACGCGGAGCCACACGACGGCCTATCCCCCCCCCGCCTGGTGGCGAATGACGAGTGCCACCGGCAGAACCGTCTACCAGCTGGCCGCAGCCTCCCGCTCCAAGCCCCTCTCCTCAGATGGTCCAAGACGTGACACTTAAGAAGCCAAGACAAATATATGGGGTGAGATCAAAGTCCGAACGTCACACGGAGTCACAGGTTCATGGGGAATACAGGAAATATCACCGGCGGCAGTCGATTCACCTTGAGCGGTAACAGACTACATGAGTATCGCTCCTTTATTCCACAGCATCTCATTGACTGCCGTACGCTTGCTAATGAGATGCCATCTCATGACGGGTCTCATTATTTCTGAACACTGCCATGTGCTCAAGGTGACCTACCCTCCATTTATACACACTCCGGCTCCTTTCTCTGCATTCCAACCTTTTCACATTTTAGGTGACATTTAATGCGACGACCAGACGCGTGAAAGAGGAAGACCTTGGTCTGCTGCTGCAGAAAGATAACTGTGGACTCGTTTTTTTTTCCCCACATTCCTCAAAGGCATTTCTTTTCCCCCCCAAGATTTGAGAAATGGGATTTAGGGTAACAAAACAGCAGACACAAAAGGAACGTGATTACCATACCTTACAAATTCATTGTACTATCAGTTGCACCAAAGGGTCGGTGTTATCAATTGCACCACGCGCTGTCCTCCACGTTCTTTATAATTCAATAAATCACTTAACGCTCATTAGCGATATCATCGCCTTGAAATTCACGACATATGTATGTACATCCTTCCCGCCCAAAAGTGCTTTATTAGGTCCGTTAGCAACACGATACTAATCACAGGCATAGAAACCATGAATATCGCGTAGCATCTGATCAGTAAACGCAAAATCGTTATTCGTCCGTTTGACCTTGATGGTAGCTGCAGGGTCAACGTGCCGGAAGCCAGATGCCGGCTGTACAGGCACCAGACGTTTGATTTCAGCCTCGGATGCTTCTCAGAAACTGAGACATCGGCGAGCTGCACTAAGCCCAACCTCCTGAAGACGGTCTTCTCATGTAATCTCTCAGGCTATGAGGAGAATTCTCCTCCCAGGGTCTGATAAGAGTTGGCATGTATTTACCAAGGCCAGTCCATGAATAGAGCAGGGATGGATCTCTCTGCTGTCACCCCCCCCCCCACACACACACACACACAGACACACTTAGGTCTCCACATTGACCGCCTGGCCTGGTCTGGCTACCCAGAACGCCATGAATTATTTAGGTGGATTTTACAGTGGCTGCAGCCCAGGGCCCCCAGCCCCTGTCACAGATGTCATCTCCTAATCCAAGGAGGGGGGGTGAGCCACACTGCTTTGCCCTGGTCTCCCGGACAGCCCCAAGCAGGGACAGGACCAATGTGGAAAGAACGAGAGCGCAACCGGCCCAACCCTGGGTCTGGAAGCCCTTCACAAAACATCTTGTCGTCCAGCTGAAGAAGGAACAAGATATGGCCGCTGGGTTTGAGGACTTTCCCCAGGATTCCGCTCAACGCCTCCGCTTGAGGAGAACTCGATTGCCCCATTACACCATGTAAGGACTGAACCGTGAAACATTTTAAAGCAGAAACATTTTCAGTTTCATAAATCAGAGAAAAACAACAAGTTGTCCGCTCTGCCCTCCCCACGTGCACGCGTGTGTGTGCATTTGCACACGCGGGAATCAGGCCTCTCTCATCAACATTTGTTGCCCCCTCCCCAATACCCCATCAAAAGGACACAATGAATGTAACGAAGTGAAAGCTGAAATGTGTCTAAGGAGCAGGTCGGTACAGCCCGCGGGTCACAGGCTGTATGATAACCTTACCCCTCCCCCCCACCGCCACCCCCACCCCACCGTCACGGACCCAAAAAGAGCATGATAATTGGATTTCATTCATCTATATTTGCAGGCATGGTCTCTCAGAACTCTTGAAGAGAATTGTTAGAATCAATTAAGCGCAAAGTGCATGGGTTTGTGGGTTATATTGTCAAATTACCGCGAAAACTTAATGTACTTTTGGCTAGTTCTTAACTAATAAAGGGTTCTCTTAGACTCACAGCAATTGTACATATTCTTTCAAATAAATTTCAATAAAGTATTGGATATATAACAGAAATACTAGTTATAAAAACAATGCCGCATGTAACACGGGCACCAGGAAAAGACGCGCGTCAGACGATATGTAACGTTGTGTAAAACACGAAACGTAACGGTAAATCGCTTATACACCATAGATTATTAGGCATAATTACTTCCCGAGTTAAATACGGATGCACTTACTGAAATCCTGATGGCTGTCGCTAGTTAAAGCATAACGAAGGGGTATAACTTATTAAACAGAAGCAAAGCCGTTATTTGCATTGGTGTCATTTTACCATTACAGTCTCCAGCATATTAGAAAAAAAAATTATAATAGAGTGATCCTTGATCGTCATCAGTGGAAGCCTGGGAGTGTTTAAAATTATATATGAGTGATTTTTCACATGTACGTTGTTATGCTCTTCCCACACGTGCCGGGTCAAGGAGATTTCAATTAATGGCTGTTTCGTATTTTGATTTTGCGCTATAACTGAATATAAATCAAACAGCCGAGACGCAGAAAAACAAACAAAATAAATAATGAATGTAAACTCTACAGCTGTAGTTTTCACAACTATGTTGTATCAGTGCAAGTGAGAGAAGGAGAACATGACTGAATGATAGAAAAATACCTGGTTTGGATGGAGACATACTTACTTAAAGGTTCTTCAGGGTTCAAGAAGAGCGGAGTCCCGCCGCACGCGGTTCATTTTCTGTGCTTGACTTGTCGTTCCGCTCTGATCTCACCATCCTCATCGCTCTCAGTAATTGCAAAGTAGTTGCGAAAGCCACTGCAGTTCATGCGCGGCGACAGTAGCGTGCATGCACGCATGGCAGCGGTCTTGGTGTGCCGCCTCCCTGCCGCTGCTGCATGCTCCCGCACGCCTCCCTGTGTAATGCAAAGACCCGAGACTCGCCCCTCGCCTCTTCTGGGCTGGTTTCCGTCGCCACTTGGCTAAACGCATCCTGACCCCCTCTAGCGGCAATATGGGTGAACTGTCGAATAGTCTTTAATTAATGACCCATAAACGGACAAAACTGAGCATCGTCATCGTCGTGTTTATCTCCTTAGATAATCTTTTGACATCACGTGCATTACATGGACGTACCCATAAAACTGTATTTTTAGATACATACAACACATTAAAAGTAACATTTTCAATAGGAAAGTATCCCCACCTTGTTCTTACAGACATTTTCATGCCGGTTTCGCGCGTTGTTTGTTTAATGGGTTAAAATCCCAGGGAAAAGCAGGAGGCGCGTCTGGCTGACACAATAATGACATAACTGCCAATTTACCTTTTTATAGCGCCATCTCCTGCTTGGGAAGCAGCGTTGACATGCCAATTGATCCCTGGGCGTCTGCATGCATGTCGGCACGCGTGTCTGACAGGTAAGTGAAAATACCATTGCTCAAATATAAAAAAATATAAAATATAATAACACCTGGAATTAGACATAGAATGACATCGGTTTGTCTCTGCTTGGGGCTATTTATATGTTCCCATTTTTATTTATATTAGTTTACAGTTTGTAAGCTCTGTGGACTGCTTTGAGTGCCCCATGCTTTAGGAGACCGAGTGGGTGTTGCACGAAACAGGATTTATCTTAACCCAGATAAGTTATTAGATTTAAGGTAGTCTGGGATAAACTAACTTAATCTTCGATACTTAAATTTAGCTCAGACTACCTTAAATCCGACAAGTTATCCGGCTAAGCAAGAAATCCTGCTTCGTGCAACACCCACCGAGTTAGACTTTAACGTTAAAAGCCTTATTGTGTTTGGCATCATAGGTTTTGCTTTTATTTATTTTGAAGTGGTATAATTTGTTGTATGATGAATGTTTAATCCAAACCCTGTGTTGTGCCTCTCCATTTTTATATCAACAAGAAACAAACACACATGGCCAATTTTCCACTTTGGTGTTGCAGCTTTTATTCACATTATATACACAAACATATACACAATACATATACAAAATAAAATTTGAGTAAATAATTAGTCTCGCTAAGTCGTTTAACTACAAATATTGTACAGCGTAATTAGATCTCGCGGGTTGGTGTTAAAGGGCACAGTTTTAAAATGATGAGAAAGATCTGTAGTGCAGACAAACCCTCCACTTCTCTGCCATCCATCCATCCATTTTCTGAAACTGCTGAATCCCAACTGGAGTCACAGGGGGGACCGGAGCCTATCCTGGGAGTACTGTGATACTGGGGCATTGATAATGGCAAAGGGGAACTTTAATATTAAAATAATATACCAAACAGACAAAACTAAAAAGAACATGACGGCTTCAAATAAAGGCATGTAAATAACCCTGGAACTAGCAAGGACTGAGACAGAAAAGCAAGTGGAAGACAAAGTTATCTGACAAACTGGGAAGGGATGTACAGTGAGACTCACTGACAAAGAACACAGGCAAGCGCACAAGGAATGAGCAGACACATCTATGCACACTGGGAAGGGATGTGCAGCGAGGCTCATCGACAAAGAACACAGGCAAGCGCACAAGGAATGAGCAGACACATCTATGCACACTGGGAAGGGATGTGCAGCGAGGCTCACTGACAAAGAACACAGGCAAGTGCACAAGGAATGAGCAGACACATCTATGCACACTGGGAAGGGATGTGCAGCGAGGCTCACTGACAAAGAACACAGGCAAGTGCACAAGGAATGGGCAGACACATCTATGCATATCTATCCACATACAAAACAAGGGACTAGTGTGGGCCATTAACACTCAACCAAACACTAGGGACTCAAACACTAGGGAATAAAAGGAACATAAACCATAGGTACAAAGTTGGACACAAGCAGGGTAACCAAGAACAAAGACATAAAAGGCAAGGACTAAACTCGGGTACTTAAATACAAAAAAACATGATTACAATGGGGTAACCAAAAACAGAATGTAAAATTGATTTTAAGAACGGGATGGGCAGTGACACCTGCTGGACAAATGGGAAAATGACGGACAGAATGGGACAAGTCAGGGACCAATCCTGACATATACACATCTTTAACTTTTTTAAATCCCCTTGCAGGATTGTTATTAAATTGTCCACCTGTATCTCTGCTATTTCGGCCTCGGTGCTTTAGGAACGAAGGGTTACTGGTTCCAATTCTGTGACCATGTCCCTTGTGGGCCTATGAGCAAGACCTTTAAGTGCAAAACTGCTCCGGTGGTGCTGAATAAATGGCTGATCCTGTGCTCTGACCCCAAACTTTGCTCTTTACTCTTAGTGGGGAAAGGTGACTGTGTATGTATAGATGTGGTAGAAATGTGACTGTGTATGTATAGATGTGGTAGAAATGTGACTGTGTATGTATAGATGTGGTACTAACATATTCCCAGATATACATGAGTTGTGTTTCTGTATTGATTTCATTTGGAAAAGGAATACTTGCCATAACTATTTGGCAAAATCAGCAATATTCTTATACAATGGTTGTTAAATAGAATAATAGTTCTAAAAGAAAATATAAATTATTTTATTCATTGTACAAAAGAGTTTACCATGAGTGTCACATGAAGCACAATGATTTGGAACGAAACACTGTTTGCTCACACTTCCAAGGTTGGGGATTTGAATCCAGCCTCCTGTGTGTGTGTGTGTGTGTGTGTGTGTGTGTGAGAGAGAGAGAGAGAGAGAGAGAGCGAGCGAGTGATGTATATATTTTGACATTGTGGGGACCACCTTTTCAGTCCCCACAAAGAGAGACTCAGTTTTATGAAATTCTGTGGCAGCAATCAAAATCCTGAAAATGCAAAAAGTCTTGTATTCTGTTTGGTTACTTATGGGTAAGGTATGCCCATAGAAATGAAAGGGAAGTCTCAGAAAAGATATGAATGAAAGCATGGTTGTGTGTGTGTGTGTGTGTGTGTGTGTGTGTGTGTGTGTGGAAGTTGCATGTCCTCTCCATGTCTTCTAAGTCCTCTGTTTCCCCCTGCAGTGCAAAAACATGCAGTGAGGCTAACCGTGAGAAGCCCCAAGATAACTGGCAGAAGGATGTACAAGTGTCAGCCCTATAAAAGCTGACTTTGAAATCCAGTCTACTGTATGAAGTAGGGGTCTCTCTTAATGCTGACTGAAGGAATACTTATTTATACAGATATTAATACAGATCACACTTTTTTTCTCATTTTAGAAACCCATTCCTGTTCAGTATCTAATTTCGACATAGCTATTTCAGATAATAAAACAAATTCAGAAGGGCTGTTTGCCCTGAACAGCCGGAAACAACCGCAAACAAACCTAGCACGGACTCACAACACCACAACCACAAGGAGAGCTATGTTCGTCAAAGAAGCCTATTTATTTTCATTTTTAAGGTATCTGTGGGACTTTGTTCCTACCATATATTTCCGTTTTGAAGGCATACAAGTTAATGATGTTTCATTAATTGCTATAGTTGTAAATGCAATTTTGTAAATTAACCTACAAAGGATTTGATCTGTAAGAGTATAATTATGCATTATATTATTCTATTGTACTTTTCATTCATGGTTTTATTGGTCTAGTGGAAGCTTATTGTACCGATGATGCTTGAGAAAAATGCACTTTAAAAAGCAAACATGGTCGAACATAGCCTTGAAATGACAATGAGGTATGGAGGGCCACAATAACTGAAGGCTTTTAAAAGGCTTTCATTTAAACAGAGTGATGTAATCAGAAGTGAAGTGTTCCCTCGCTCTGCTAGCGAACGTGTAAAAGATTCATCACGCCTCTTCAGCTTAGGGGCGGAGCTCGGCGCTGACAGGGGACTGAAAGAAACGCTTTAAGGGGCTTCCATAATGAATCAGGATGGACAGGGGAGGAGAGGGTGGGGATTTAGAAAGAAAAAGGGGGCGTCCGGACCAGAGAAAATGGGGAGATACAATCGACCAGCTTCATGTACATGCATGTTTTGTGCTGGCGTCTCACACGGTCCACTTACCGTTTTAAAGCATGTATCGTTGCAGTGGTAACTCAAGATCTTTATTTGTCGCATGCATGAATGTACAGGTACACAGGATAACAAAATAATATAGGGTAACAGAATAATTTCTAAAATGCAGAAATACATAAAAAGTAAAGATAAGGAATCCATTGTCCGATTTCATTCCATTTTATCGCTGAAGATACAATTAAAACTATGCTCGCTGTAGTGATTTTATTGCCGTTCATGTAATATCAGCGAAGAGAGCCTTTACGCCGTGGCAAGTGGTTACGGTAACGCCCGGTGTTTACAGCGAAAGTTGGAGACGGCAAAACATCACGTTGCGTTGGAAGGTGCAGTAAGACAATGTCCAGAAGATGGCGCTTAAATCTTGTCTTAAAACAGTATAACAAAGACTCCGCTACAGTTACATTTCCTTTACATAAAAGAACAACAAATCAATTGTCAATAAGAACAGATGCAATAGATCGTGAAGAAACTTATTGTAAAAATATTTTTCAATTTAATCAGATTAAACAAAAAAACAATAGTAAAGCAAACCTAAAAATATTTAGTAAAATTGATAATTTCCAACTTCAAAAAGTGCACATATAAATATGTATTTACTGTACCTATTAACTGGTTGTTATGTAAAACTATCCAATGTACGTTTTAACAAGGTGCTTTATTGCTGGGACTTTAGTGACACCGAGTACAAACAGAGCCAAGAGATCCTGGAAGCGCCGAAAAGGAGGTGAGCGCTTCTCGGGCGCCTTTAATACCCGCCCCCTCCGCTCCAGCACGCCAGTCAGGGCGAGCACGCCGCAAACAGCCGGGGCTCCGCACACAAAGCCAGGCTCGGGGCTCCCCCCTTGTTTTACCACCCAAAAAAAGCATGGAAGACCAGCTTTCCCGGCGTCTCATTTCTGCTGCCGCCTCACAGTGAGGCGGTCCTGTCCTGCTAGAACGGGACCCCGTGATATCTGCTATTTAAAACTGAGAGATATTTGGGATTTTGGCTCGTAGCGCGTCTGTTCTCTTTTTTGAAATACAATGGGCTGCTGCGGTGGACGTTGTACGTTGATTTTCCTCTGTACTTTCCAGCTGGTGAGTGGTTTTTCTTTTACAAGTTGTTTATTACTTGGGTCTCTGTTTTCATACAGATAGACATTGGGAGTTTGTAACGGAAACACTGTAGTTTTCCTTTAATGATCTGGGGATGGATTTTGTGTTTTTCTTTTAAGAACAGTGAGAGTATTACGTATGTTAATGCTAATGATCTGCGTTTTGCTTTTGCGACAAGATCGGTGACATGTGCACGCACCTTAAGTCATTGCACTTTACGCTTAGTCCGCGGACGTGATCCAGCTGTGAATCCCGGATAACCAGCAGGGGTCGCTCGCTTCCCCTGCCTGTCAGCGCATCTCTATTTTATAAGCATTTAACCGACTGCCGAGTTACTTCTGTCATTGGCTCATGAATTTATCCCCGTTTGATAGTAAAACGAATCGATTTTTTTTTTTAAATTACCCTGCCGTGTCAGGTCGGGATCTAAGCTTCTGAAATGGCTTCTGAGGCGCTGTGCTGTTGTTCTCTTTTGACTTTCATCATCCCTGTATGCTGGAGGGTATAAATCTCATTGGTACCTGTCTACTTCCATATTCCTTATTATTTTGCCCCTTATTCTGCCGCAGTGACTTTTGGTGTTGCGTTATCAATGTATACGCATAATTAATCTCGTCCGGCGGGAGTAAATATAAGTGGTAAGGGACCGGGCCACTGTTGGGAAAACAGCGGGGATGGTCCCTCCTATTCCCATTGCGCACTCACCGTATGTCTGCGAAAGGTCAGTGGACCAGAAATGATTGCACCCACCGCTTCCATTGTCCTCATTCACACGACGCAAAATTTACCCACCCAGTCCTGGAGCGTTTACTGCTTCTCGGATACTGCCTCATGGGGTAATGACTTGGGGGCTGGGGGGGCGTAATTTTATTGCGTTTAAGATGCGCCGTCCCAGGCAACACACCCACAAAAGCTTGCAGGGCTGAAATGCCATCGCCATGGACGGGTAGTGAAATGGTCTTGCTTGTCCAAACCCATCTATGAAACAATAGCCGGTTTCAGAAGTTTGTCTTCTTAAAATTCACCAGGGGATCGCTGTCAAAGCAACAGACTGTTCTGTCTGGAATAAAATGTGAACGCTGCAAGATCAGACTATATTAGACAATGGGAAACGCATAAGTTATCCCCTCTATTCTCTATTAAATGCGTTTTATGCTTGTCTTACCGCTATTAACCCCCCTCCCCCCGAACACTCAGAGACTTCTCACAGTGTAAATGGCTGTATTGTTGCAGTAAAGCCTCAATGCTACCATAATGGTTTTCGAATATTATTTGTTGGGTGGGGAAAAATGCCAGCAGGAACTGATGCACGTGCATAGACTGAAGGCGCCGTTCGCGCTTAGGCTGGTCGTGGCCGTGTATTCTAATGAGGGGAATCTTATTTGTTTGGTCCTTTGTGTGCTGGTAAGAAATGGGGGTGGGGGGGCATCCTGGTAGGTGAATTGGTTTGTCAGCTTGTTTACTGGATGGATTCAGCAGTACTGTGGCTAGCAGTGAGTCGTGACTGTGGTTTTGTTGGTGACTGTAACGGGTTTGGCGGAGTCGTGGGAGCTGGTGAAGGTGACCCGCGTCTTCTGTTTTGGTAACGATCAGGGGCGTCCTTGTAACACGAGTTCTCCTCTTTCTGAATTGAATTACTTGTAGGGATTCTAAGCAGGATGTCTCGCTTATGGATGCATGGATGGATGGATAGATAGAGAGAAAGCCAGGGAAGTATTACACGGAATTCCATAGTAACAGCTCTGAAAAAAATACTTGCTGGAGTCCTGTGGCTTGTATCACCATCGATCATTTCTTATTGTGTGAACAGTATCGGGGCATAAAGTATGTGAGCAGTTTTATCATCACAATACTCTGGCCTTGAATTTTTCAGAAGGACTATGGGAGGGGGGCAGGGGGGGTTCAGAAAAACGAAAAAAAATTGGACTTATTTTGCACTGGCTAAGATGGCAGGGAGATGTCTTGGGGGGGTGGTTGCCCAGTTCAGGTGTGTGTGGGGAGGGCTGACAGCTGGCGAGGCGTGATGCTGTGTAAGTCCATAGAACAGCCAGTCAGGTGAGTTTTTTGGAGTTTTTTTGTCTCCTTCATGCTGTATCTCTCGTTTACGGGCTGAGTTACTCTGTCACTGCAGGAGTCAGGATGTGATGCTGCAGCCTGTCACCTCTCCTTTACCTTGGCTGTGGGTTCTAATCCCCTTCACCTGAAATGGTTCTTTATCTGCATAAGTGTGACGTAGCATTACCCCTAATAACCCCCCCCCCCCCCCCCCCCTCCAAATATC